TAAATAAATGAATGAATGAATGAATGAATGAATGAATGAATGAATGAATGAATGTTGAGCTTCATGCATGCATTTACACACGTGCACACATACACATTAATACATGTGTGAAGCTCGACACATTCAAAAATGTTAAACTCTTCCTCCTAACACTGTCCCAGCAGCCTGAAGAAATATAGTTGAGAATCGTATCAATTTCCATAAGATGCTATGTAGCTATTCCAATGTTATTTTACTAGGCTGCACAAATGTTCTGTGCACAGACCATTCAACACATGGAATAGCTAGTGTTAGTGTTAGGTGGTCCATGCTCAGACCAAAACAATGTTTTGGAAATGGCCCAAAATGTGTGTGTTTTGTCCAGGCTTGAATCAAGAACACGCACAAGAGGCAGTGGAAAAAAGGTAATGCTATCAACAGTTACAACACACAGCTGAAGGGACATAAAGGAAAAGGATGTGGGTCATATATGCTATGCTTGAATTCAAGCACTGTAATGGTGGCTCAGGAGAAGGAAGGTGCTGGGAAGACTGGGGAGAGGAACAGGTGGGACAGTCAGATATGCTACACTGGAATTCAAGCATGGAAGCTAAGCAGAGGTAATAGAAAAGAAGGCATTAGGAAAATCAACAAATAGGGTGATACAAAAGCCCTGTAAATGTGGCAAGGAGAAAGGGGTGATGTGCATCAGCCTTGTGCTACTTGCCCTGTAAGACTCCTCTGGATTTTGTCTCAGTTGAAATCTGGAACAACCAAATGCTCTGGCTTTTAGTCAGCTGGACTGCAACCCACCTGGAATAGTCTTGCCAAACCTCTGCCTCACAATGTGTTGTTCTGTACACAAATAAACATATTTGCCATGCACAAACCTATTATTTACTGAACTCCAATTCAAAAATTCTTAATTTAGAAGATGTTCATTCTGCGGTGCTTTTGTGCAATTACAATTTCATTTAAAAAAGAAGAATGATAGTAGTTACTGCTTACATATATCCTCAACAATCTGTTGTCCTTGTGCATAACTGGTCTCAGAAACCTATGGACTAGTGTACAGATCAGACAGAACTACCAGCCAGACCAGCTACATCGAAATCAAAAGGTGCCAGGGTATTTTATCATTATGCCTTATATCCATAGGACCTTAAATAGTAAACTGTCTCTCTGAAAGAGCAACTTATTTATAGCATTTTTATCCTGCTCTTCAGGCAAAAGTGCTCTCAGAGATGCTTATATAAAAATCAATGAAAAAAACTAATTCCTAC